CCCCCCCCCCCCCAGGAGTCTGAAGGCCGAGGCCATGGTCCCTGCCGGCTCCTTGTCCTCAGCCACTTCCCCCAGGGATGCAGTTGTCCCTCTTGGACCAGGCCAGCCACGTGTCCCTGGTGCAGGGCAGTGTGACTGCAGCTGCCTCCTGCACAGGTCAGGCACTGGGGAGGGGAGGGACAGGCCGGTGAGCAGCACAACGTCCCTGTCCTTGAGAGCGGGCTGGCGCAGGGCCCTGCCGTCCGTGAGAGATAGCAGGCCGTGGCCTCATTCCGCCCCCAGACCTGAACAAGGCCTGCGGCAATGCCATCGATGCCCACGAGGCCGCCCAGATGCACCAGAACTTCTCCCAGCAGCTGCTCCAGGACCACATCGAGGCCTGCAGCCTCCCAGAGCACAACCTCATCACGGTGCGGCCCGGGCAGGGGGTGGGGGACCCGGCGGGCGCAGATACTCAGCCGGCCACCCAGGGTGTTCTCACTGCCACCCTCTCCCTCAGTGGACGGACGGCCCGCCCCCCGTGCAGTTCCAGGCGCAGAACGGGCCCAACACCAGCCTGGCCAGCCTGCTGTGAGCCACATCCGGCATCCTCGGCGCGGGGCGTCCCCGGACTTTGTCCCTGATGTCTCCAGCTTCTGAGTCCTGGGGTCGGGACAGCTCCTGTCCTCACGAAGGGCACGGCCCAATCCCGCCCCTCACCAGGACCTGGCACCGATGCCGCAGGTGGGACGCGGGGCTGTATCCAGAGCCACTGTAGAGGCCTGCAGCTACCCAGCCACATCCATGTCCACGTCCACGTCGCAGTCACGCCACTGGGGGCCCGGCCAGCCCCTGACCTGTGTGCCTGCGCCCGACGGCGTCCCCTGCTTGCTCGAGGCACAGGAAAGAGGCGGTGGCCTTCATGCGGCACAGGGCACGGCCCCGGCCTCTCCAGTCAGCCCTGGGACGCAGCTTCCAGACACCTTCCCGTGACTGGAGCCGCACCCCGCCATGGGGGCAGGAGCTGGGCCGGTGTTGCCCTTGGGAGGCTAGGCTCAGGGAGGGGAGGGCCCGACCACCTCTGGAATGAGGTGATGCCACCCAGACAGCAGCACTCGGCTTGGGCTCCGCCAGGACCGCAGCCAGCCACCCCCATGCCCGGCTGGAGCCGGGCCCGCCTCGGGTGTCCCATTGCCCCAGTGTGTGAGGAGCCCGGGGCCACCTGTCTCCGGAAGCCCTCCTGCCCACCCTGACTCTCCAGGCCCGCGCCGGGATCACGTCGCCTGTCATGTCTGTCCGGCCTATTTATTGAAGCCTCTCCGCTTCCAGGGTATTGTGTGTGTAGAGTGGGAGTGAGAACCTCCGACTGAACCCGGTCTCCTGCTGACGTGCTCGAGCTCCACCCGTGTCTGTGCGCAGTTATGGATGCAGTCTCGCATTCACAAGTGTAAAATCCAGTGCTCGATATTTAATATTCCCCTTGTGCCACAGCTGCCAAATTGTGTGCGTGTGTATGTGTGTGTGTGCACGCGCGCGTGTGTGCGCGTGTGTGTGTGTGTGCGCGCGTGTGTGCAGTCTCCCCGCCTGCCCTCTGCCGCACGTGCTTCTGCCCTGCCGGCCGTGTGAACCCCTTCCCTGTAGCCAGTGGAGAGGAGATCGGGGTTGCTGCCCTGCCTGGCCCGGCCAGCCATGCTGTGGCGAGTGCGGGAAGAGGCGCTGTCAGCGTCCGCAAGCCGGGCATGGAGCCTTTTAATGGTTTGTACTGTTTTATTAGCAGCCTGTAACTTTCCAGCTGGTGCTTTTAATCAGGAATTAATTGTAAATACAAAACCTGTTTCAGAGGTAACCATAGAATGTAGCTTCCTGTTTGTGGTTGTTTTTTCCTACATATTCTAAGTAAAATAATTGACGGGAGCTGGCACTTGCCTGTCTTTGTCTCTCGTCTGCCCTTCTGCACCATCCTACAGGCAGCCTCACCTGCACAGCTGCTGGACCCTCTGTGACAGCGCCCCCATCACCCCAGCTCCTCGAGAGGCTGAGTCGGGAAAGTCTTAAGACCAGCTTGGCAACTTAGCAAGACCCAGTGCCACTGGGGTCAGAGAGGAGCAGGGTGCCCTCCCCCCCTGGAGATGTGGATGGTGACCCCTCCCCAGTGCTCCTTGGGTCCCAAGAAGTGGGTGGAGGGTTGTTCACCAGTTGCAAAGTTTCTTTTTTTCACTCCCAGTTCATGCTCATACAGTGAGCCCAAGGGCGCTGGGAAAGAAAAAGATAAATTTCCAGAGGAATTTGATGCCCTCGGTTCTTTGATACTTTGGCTACCTTGTCAAGGACCAGACAGTAGCCAAACTGTCACTTACAGCCATGTTTTATAAAGAGACAATACTGCTATAAAAACGTCATTTTTATTTTTCTTTCTTTTTATGGTACTGGGATAGAACCCTGGGCCTTCACACTGAGCCGTATCCCCGTTCTTTTGAGTTTGATATAGGATCTCATTTGCCCAGACTGGGATTGGGATAGAACGAACTTTTTTTTTTTTTAGACAGGGCCTCATGTGTAGTCAGGCTGGCGATCCTCCTGCCTCAGCCTCCTGAGTACTGGGATCACAGGTGTGTGCCATCACACCCAGCAGTTACAGGGTTCTTAAACCTAAAGGGTTAAGCAGACTGCTCAGAAGTGGGGTTGTAGGGCTGGAGATTTAGCTCAGTGTTTCTGCTTCCTGCCTCACAAGCACAAGATCCTGAGTTGATCTCTGGTACACACACAAAAAAAGTGTGACCCACGACCCGGAAGTGCATCTTCTAGTGCCTTCATCTTCCTTTCTCCCCAGTCATGGCCCCAGGGACTGCACCGACCTTGGCCACCAGAGGGCATGGGAGGCCCAGAGCTGCAAGAGCATGGGGCAGTGTCCCCACCAAGGGTGGAGGGTGCCGGCGCCAGCCCCAGCCCTGCCTGGAAGGCAGGGCTGATGAGCATCACCAGCTCCAGTGTGGCCAGGCTCTCGTCCACCAAAGTGGTGCAGGGCAACCTTCCCTTCCCTGCCACCACTTGCAAGACAAGGCCCAGGTCCTCCAGGTCCCAGGGCAGAGTCCTCCCAAGGCCTAGGCATCTTAGCCAAGTGTGGCGGTCCACGCCTGTCATCCTAGCATTCAGGAGGCTGAAGCAAGAGGATTGCCACGAGTTTGAGGCTGCAGGCTCTGGTCCTTTCTTGTCCCGCCACTCCAGTGGGAACACCAGGTGACACTCCTGGCCCTGCTTGTAGCATTTATAGAGGGCACCAGCTGACATCTAGAGCTACCACCGAGAGGACGCCGGGTGCCAGGAAGGTCGCTGAGCCCCTGGCCAGGGGAGGGATCAAATGCCCCTCACCTCAGGCCACAGAATGCAGCTCAGGGTTGGGGAGGTGCGTCTGGGGCCAAGCACATGGCAGGCACAGAGGAAGCTGTGGCAGGAGGGTGGTAGAAAAGGACACCTCCAAACTGGCTGGCTTCAGGAGAAAGCAAGTGCCCACTCCCGGCTCTGCCCACACGGGCGGCATAGGCAGGGCGAAGCATTCCTAGCCTTACTGTGTGGGCCCAGTGCAAGAGCTGGAAGGACCAAAGGAGTCAGTGGTTCAAGGTCATGGCTTGAGGTCAAAGAGGGTTTTCAAGCCCCTCAAAATGCCTGAGCTTCACTCTGGTGGTGCACGCTTGTCGTCTCAGCTCTGGGAGGCTGAGGCAGGAGGATCGAAAGTTTCAGCCCAGCCTGGGCAGTTTAGTGAGACCTTGCCTCAAAATAATTTAAAAAAATTTTTTTTAAAGGGCCGGGGATGGGATTCAGTGCCAAGGCCTTGGGTGTGTACTCCAGCACCAAAACAAACAACATACACAAAAATGAATCTGAGCTGTACCAAAAAAAAAAAGGGCTGGGGATTTAGCTCAGCGGTTCGGTGGTCTGCCTTGCAAGCGCAAGGACCTGAGTTCAATCCCCAGTACCAAAAAAAAAATCTGAGCTTGCTGGTAGACCATACCCTCAAAGCACAGGCCACTGTGTTGAGGGGCTCATGGGAACCCAGAGTGAGATGCAGCGCACGGCCAATACTGCGGTACTGGGGTTTGTGTTGTGCCAGACGGGATGCAGGATCAGCCCAAAGGTCAAACGTTGCTGGGCGCCCTGCATTTTCTTGTTTCTTTGTTTTTTGTTTTGTTTTTTGAGACAGGGATTCACTGTGTAGTCCAGGCTGGCCCTGAACTTGTGGCAGTCTTTCTGCCTCAGCCTCCAGAGTGCTGGGGTGACAGGCGCGTGCCACCACGCCCAGTATTAAATACATTTTCAGCCGGTGCTGCTCCACTATTGAGGAGCATCCTTCACCCTGACCTTAGGGCTTTTCCTCCTCCTCAGATGACCCACGACAGACTTCTTTGCCTTTTCATGGTGGGCTGCAGTCTCGGGATCTTTCCAGAGGCTGGACCCAAACCCCTAGAGAGTCCGGAGTCAGTCGTGGGTGAGTTTGGTGCCCCGCAGCTGCACTGAAATTAATATTATGCTTACAGTGTTAGGAGGCTAGGCCTGTGAGCCCAGCACTGGGGAGGCTGAGACCAGAATCCCCTCAACTTGAAGACCAGCCTGGGCTACATCGTAGGTAAGGGCTTCCCTGAGAGAGGTGTGGTGGGGGACAGGGACAGAGACCAGGACACATGCATGTTCCGTCTTCCAGCATGTGGTTTTGGTTTAAAGGATTCCAGCAGAACAGTGTGTCTGTCACACTTCTGTGTGTGTACAACATCAAAGTGGATCCCAGCCTCCCCCCAAAACCTCACAACGTCCTAAAGTCTGGGTGCCATGGCAGTGGCATATATCTGTAATCCCAGCTACTCGGGGGTCTGAGGCAGGAAGATTGCAAGTCAAAGACCAACCTGGGTGGCCAAGTGAGACCCTTTCTCAAAGTAAAAGGTCAAAAGGGACAGGGTCGCAACTCAGGGTTACACGAGCCTTGGGTTTGATCCTTAGGCCTCAACACAAACAAATAAGTAATCAGAGTGGGAAGAGACCCTGAAAGGGACCCCCAGGAACTAGTGACAGTGGTGGCTTGTAGGCCTGACCCCCGGGCCCCGGCATCCACACTGAGCCGGCCCTGTACTTCTGTGAGAAAATATTTCCCAACCTATCTTGTCTGTACTTGGTTAGGGTTAGGGTTAGGCAACAATCCAGGGGAAGGGCCTGAGCACTAGGGAGGCTGAGGCAGGAAGATCCCATGGATTTCAAGGCCAGCCTGAGCTACACAGCCAGACCCTGTTTCAATAAAAAAGAAAAAACCCAGAACTTTGGGGAGTAGAGGGTGTGTCAGAGACCGCATGGCAGGAAGGATGAGGCTGGCCTGCCTGGGTCAGAGCCAGAGGCTGCTTCCTGCAGCCCAACCCAAAGCCTGAGTGGGCGGGAGCGGCCCAGCCCTGAGAAGGAAATGTCCCTCTGTGGCATCCATTCCACCCACAGGACCTGTCTGCGAGTTCCTGGTGCCCCCCAAGAATGGTAAATTCTCCCCCAGGCACTGGTGCAAACGCTGGTCCCCACACTGCCTGTTCTGCTGTTTTTGTTTTTTTGTTTTGTTTTGTTTTGCAAATTCAAAAGGGCAGAACAGGTGGCGCATGCCTGTAATCCCAGCACTCAGGAGGCTGAGGCAAGAGGTTCTCTAGTTTGAGGCCTGCCTGGGTTACCTAGCAAGGTAAAGGGGAGACTGAACTGACTCAAAGCAAAACAAAATGAACAAAAAGCAAAACCAGGGGCCAGACATGTAGCTCAGTGGTACAGCGCCTCGGCAAGCACGAGGCAGGCCCTGGGCTCAATTCCCAGTACCAAAAAAGAAAAATGAAAAACACAAAAAAGAACACCCCCCCCAAACAAAAAACAAAACCAAGCAAGAAGGTGAATCATCGTCGCAGTTAGCAAGTAACTTTGAGCTCAGACAATGATGATAAAGAAACCTTTGAGTCAGGTGTGGTGGCAGTCACCCATGTTCCCAGTTACTTGGGAGGCTGAGGCGGGAGGATTGCTTAACCCAGGAATTCAGAGCCAGCTAAGATAACAGCAACATAGCAAGACCTTTCTCTCTCTCTCTTTACTTTTTCTTTCACGGTACTAGGGACTGAGCCCAGGGCCTTTGCACGGAGTTACACGTTAGGCTCTCACTAAGTAGTTTAGGCTGGCCTCAAACTCATGGCAATTTTCCTGTCTCAGTCTCCCCAGTGCTGGGATTATAGGTGTGGGCCACCATGTCTGGCTAATTTTTATTTTTTACTTGAGACGTTTTTACTAAGTTGCTAAATTGCCCAGGCTGGGCTGGATCCTCCAATCACTTAATGTCAATCAGAATCGGGTAGGATTTGCTACGTTCTTTTGTACTGGGAATCGAACTCGGGACCTTGTGCTTGTGAGGTAGGCGGTAGAACCATTGAGCTAAATCCCGGGCCCTGGTTTTGGTTTTGTACGCTGGTATCAGAGTCAGGGCCTGGCACATGGTGGGCAAGTGCGTCTGCCACTGAGCCCAGTCCCCACTTCCTTAGGTTTCAGACCAGAGACCCGGGAGAGCATGGTTGGAACCCTCCTGATCTCCGTCTATGTTCTGCGCCAAGTTCTAGCCAATCAACATCAATAAAGCTATAGTCTGTGAGGCGTGGAGGTGCACACCTGGCATCCCAGCACTTGGGAGGCTGAGGCAGGAGGATCACTGCTAGTCTGAATTCGAGGCCAGCCTGGGCTACATAGTGAAACCTTGTCTCAAAGAGAAAGAAAAAGTTATCCTTTGCACCCCACACCTGATCTTGACTTGCCTTTCTTTAGGGAAGCCACAGTTAACTAGATCAACTTGTTAGGCTGGCAAATCCACGCACAGGGCGCTGCCTGTTAATCTTATCAGGCAACTAACATAGTTCTTCAAAGCCAATAGGTGCTGCTTCCTTAATCCAAGGAAGTCTTTTTTGTTGTGTTTTGTTTTGTTTGTTTTTTGGTACCGGGGATCAAACTCGGTCCTTGCACTTGCAAGGCAGGAGGCGGAACCA